TTTGAACTGCGGGTCATTGCTAAGGTATCCCTATGTTTGAGGGACACGACCATTATTTCCAAAGCAACCAAGTGAGGCAAACCCTAGGAGTGAACATGTGCAAGTGTTTGATTTCAGTTTCATTTATCTTGTGCATTTAGGATTTTCTACTGTTTTAAATTGATTTATCTTGCCATTCAATCCTATTATCCATACATCTAGGCAGTAAAGTGCGAGAAATTAAAACCCTAACTATTACAAGGCTTTAGGGAGGGGAATTACATAATCAAAAACTGGGGAAAATAATAAATGTGAAATAGTAAACCTAATTAACTATTACAAACTCGGAGCAGATACAATAATTAATAAAATAGGGGAAAAAGAATGCGCGTGACAAAATTAAATACGGGGAATTAATGTCAAGTTTAGAAACAATTAATTTGCGAATAAAGAAAGGATATTTTTTGGATTTTTATGAAAAAAATAATTAACTTTGCAAATTAACCTAATTTCTATTAAATTCTAATTATGAAAAAAAATATTTAAGTTAACCTAATTTCTATTAAATTTTAATTACAAAAAAAGGATTTAAGTTAACCTAATTAAACTAATTAATTAATACAAATAAATATTTTTATGAAAAAAACTAAACCTAATATTTTTTGTAATTTTCTGATTTTATGATTTAATAATAATAAAAAAATGATTTTGTAAAAAAAATACTTAAGACATAATAAAATAAGAAAAATAAAAAAAGAATTGGAAATGGGCATGATATAATGAGCAATTTGGGGGGTGTACTGCCAATTTTGTGATAGGCCCATGATGATGGCCCAGAGTCTAGCGCATGATCCAATGCACCTTTCTTCGGATGGTTCATGGTGTGCCTTCAATCCTGTGGTGTTGGATCTACATGATGATGGATCCCAAGGATGAGATCTGGGGCGTATGGTGGACGCTGGGCATTGAGGCACGTTGGATCTGGAAAGTATATTAAAGAAAAATGCAAAAGCAACACGCTTGGGATCGAACCCAGGATGTTTGCTTCAAACCCTCCATCCTTAACCATCTGCGTTGGCTGTTCATTTGTTAATATAATAACAAAAATAACATTATATTCAAAGTAACGTTAATATCATAAAAACGTGCGCGTAATTTAAATCTCCCAATGGGAGTTTGCCACCTAGCCTTCTTCTTCCTCAGCACTGTCGTTTTAGGTTTATACTTTTACCTACGGACAAAGTCTGTAGGTACAACCCTGCATCATTCAAAAATCCATCACAAGCAATATAAATTACAATGAAGGCCATGAGTCAACTGGGCTTGAAGCCCTGAACACCATGGTATCCACGCCTAGCCCTAATTTTGCTTGTAGAAGGAAACCCTAAAACGAGCTTGGAAACCCTAAGAATGGCAAACCATGATTCCCGCACTTAAAACTCAATCAAATGATTCAGAAAGCATCAAAACATTATGATAAATAAGAATACATGATTAAATTTCATTGAAAATGCATGTATGCATGTAATCAAAAATCAAAAAAGGTTGGATAACAGAGTTGCAGATTTTACGATTCTGAGTGTTTTGGTGCGTGTAAAAGGTGCAGTTAACTTCAGGAGATTGCCAAGAACGTGTTGCAATCCTTAAATCTCCTTGAGGATGGCTGTAGTATGGAATCTGATGCTCACTTTTTTGTCCAAAAACTGAGTTCTTGTTCTTGCAGTTTACGCGTCCAACCCTCTTTCTTGTGCCTTGGAATTGTTATGTATATGTATTAGACTGTATTAGGTTAACAAAAAACATTCATATCTTTGTAAATTATCAAGATTTGATTTGATTCCATCCTTGCATTATTTCTTTCTAAATCAGGCCAAATCATACCATTTTCATCCCAATTAACCTTGGCACGATTTGATTTTGTTTGACAACATATTTGCATTGTAATTCCATTCAAAATTAGATTAAAAACAAATCTTTACTAATTTATATCATTTATTTGATTTAATTTGATTTTTAAATGATTAAAATCAAAATAAATAAAATAAATAAAGCAAATAATATGTGGGAGAGTGTTTGGGTCGTGGACCATGTTAGAAGTAAGATGCAAGCATAAAAAGTTAGACCCATTTGACAAAAAATGCAATTTTGGGTATTGTTGACTTTTGACAATTTTCCAAAAATGGCCAACTTTGACAATGCATATCTTCTTTAATTTTGACCCTAAAAGGGTGATCTTGGACTTTATAGAAAGCTTAGGATGTCTCCTAAACAACCCTTTTGGTTTCATCTCAATTGGATCCTCCATGTTCATGTAAGAAGCTTTGACCCAAAAGGTGTTTTTGTTGAGTTTTTGGAATGACCTATAATGTCTGAGTTCATATCTTTTCATGGGTGAATTTTTTGAGTTTGAGGGCTGAATATGAGTTGTAGGGAATTGGATTATCTTCAAAATGAGCCTTGGATGGAAAATTGTTTATAAAGTATGAGAAAGTTATGCCTGGTCAAAGTTTGGTTGACTTTTCCTAAGAAACCCTAATTTAGCAACTTTTGAGTTTTGATTAATTAGGAGCACTCCTTAGGGAATCATGATCAACCCTTGATAAAATGATGGATATCACTTCAAAATGTTGATTTTGACCAAAAATATTGAAGTTTGACTGTATGTGGGCCACAGTTGACTTTTGACCTATCACAATTGATTTTCAAGCATCTGAGCAGTTGACTGGGCAAACTTCTTATGTAAGGCATGAAACTTGACATGGATGGCCTTGAGAACATATTAGGACTATATAAAGGATTTGAGGCCTTTGGAGTTCACCCATCTTGATGAAAATGGAAATCCTAGTTGGAGGTTCATTGCTTTATGAGAGAGTTTGTCTGGTCAACTCTTGGGCATCCTTGAGCAAGTTGAGGATCTCAATGATTATGTGTTAAGTAAAAATGGAAGGGCAAATTTTGGAGTACAACACAGTATAAAAGTCAGTTCTCACACCGTATTATAGTTGGATCATTACATTACTTATGCAATACGCTACCAGATTTGGCGTTTAGTGTCGGTATTGCGAGTAGATTCATGGAGAGACCCAAGGTGTCTCACTTGAAAGTAGTCAAGAGAATCCTGAGATACGTAAAATGATCTATTGGTTGCATAATTCTTTTTCCCACTGAGGATACGTCAAAAGATCTTTATGTTCGATGGAACACCAATCTCATCATTTTCAAAGAAGGAACCTGTAGTTACACTCTCATCTTGGGAGGCCGAGTATATTGTTGCTTCGTTATATGTGTGTCAAGCTGTGTGGTTAATGAATCTATTAAAGAAGCTAGGCAGTAGTAAGGGTGGGGCTGTTACGCTCTTGGTTGACAATGTTTCCACTATTAATCTTGCTAAGAACTCAAATGCACATGAGAGGAGCAAGCACATTGAGATGAGGTTTCCCTACTTAAGGGAGCTTGTTAGTAAAGGCAAGTTAAGATTGGAATATAGTAGAAGTGAAGAGCAAGTTGTTAATTTGTTGACTAAAGGAGTCACAAATAATGTGTTCAAAAGTATGAAGATGCACTTGGGCATGAATGACTTGGAACACTTGAATTAAGGTGGTGTGTTGAGTGAAAAACATGTAATTCAAGTGTTGTTACCGATTAATACGGGGTAACCGATTACAAATTGGTGAAAAGCACTTCTAGAAGGAGAAAAAAATATTTTAGAGTTGGCGTTAACCAGTTACGCATTCGCTTTAACCGATTACACCTGATAGCATTTTCAAATTTTATGTCAGCTGTAACCGGTTAACAGTTTATGTTAATAAGTTACAGCCGTGAGTTTTTGCTTTTTCTTGTATTTGGATTATGTGTTTTTGGTCTCAATTATTTTGTAACACTTGTATAAATTTCTTGGAGACATCTTCATTATTAGTAATGCAAATTATCATTCTCGTCCTCAATTATCTCTCTAATTCTCTTATCTCTTACTGACTCTTATTTCCACATAATCTATAATTTATCAATTATATGAATGTATGTTCGAATAAAAAGTGTGACTTGCTAATAGAGGAGAATCAGTGAAAAAGATTGGAAGATTTTGAAAGTTGTTGAACCAATTTCAATGTGGGGCAGGTGATTTGTCGAGTGTTAAAGTTGGTTGTTTGCTCAATGTTTATTTGCTTAAAGTGTAACTCTTAGTAATATTAGCATCATGGAAAGATTTGTTAATTATTGTTTTTGTTTAGGTGATTTGAATTATCAGGAGGATAAACATTGAATTCATTAATTTGGATTTTTCCATTCCTCTCTCACATATACATTGAATTCTACTACTACTTAGAGTAAAATAATTTTTCTTGGTATAAGATTAAATTAATAATTTAATTATTATTAAAAATTATAATCTATTTTAATTTATTAACAAAAATGACGTAGTAAATAAAAAATATCATTAACTTTCATGACACATTATCAAAAAACGCCACTTCAGCATTTTTTACATTAAATTTAAGGACAGGATCTAAAACTATTTAAAAATAAAATTGAAAAACTGATTTCATCAATAAGACATAATTGAAGGATCAAAATTATAATTTAACTTTGAAAATAATATTTTATGATTTTAAATTTCTATTAGATAAAAATATTTATTTTTTATGAGTAATTAAAACAAAATCAATTACAATTACTTGATCACTATGTTATGTAGAACCATTTAATCCAAACTTTACTTTTTTTTCTTTTATCTTAAACTTTTTATTTTTCTTGAAAATTAAATAGTTAAAATAAAAAAATTATTTATTAATTAAGTCAAAGAAACCCACAAACTTCATAGTTAAGAAAACACAAAAAAACTAGATCATTACTTAGATCCGACTAAGAGAATACATAATGAGAAAGAATTAGTTGAACGATTTTTTCTCCGAATTTTATCATTCTCATTATCATAATCACTTAATTGTGTTTGACGTGCAATTTTACGAACCCTGCCTAAATTGTTTTTCAGAATCATTTAATCACGTCTAGCATTTGAAGATATGGAGAATTCAAAATCGACGAATCCTCTTACAACTGAAAAGGTAAGCAATCATGTACCTGATGATCTTACAATGTCGATTATATCAAAATTGCCTCTAAAATCTTTGGTGCGATTTAGGTGTATACGTAAATCATGGTCTCTCTTATTTGAAAACCCTCATTTCATGAACATTTATCGCACCAATTTTGCATCGAATAATAATTTTTCGTATGATGATGATTCATGTCTCACCTTAGAGTTTACTATGTCATCTCATGGATTATGTGCCACCTTATTTTCACTTTATGGTGAGCGATTTGAGAATAAGGTCAAATTAGATTTGCCACCTTTTTTTCAAGAAGATAACGAATGTATTAAAATTTTGGGTTCTCCAATTGACGAAACACTTTGCCTTTACAATGGTTTTCAAATTCCAGAAATTGTATTTTGGAACCTATCTACTAAGGAATTCAAAGTCCTTCCTCCTAGTCCAATTGAGTCTCAACCACCTCATTACAAATTTATCTTCTCACTTATGGGATTTGGTTATGACCATGTTAGAGATGATCATAAAGTAATTCGGAATGCATTAGAATGGACTCAATTTGACTTTGAAGATACTCAATCAAATGAGTTCATATGGGAACTGTACAGCCTAAGAAATAACTCTTGGAGGAAACTTGATGTAGATATTTCTCTTGGTTATGTTACTTTGGACTCTCAAGTTCACACAAACGGAATGTGTCATTGGTGGAATAAAGATGAATATTGTTTGGTCTCGTTTGACTTGAATAGTGAGGTGTTTTTCAAAACCCCGTTACCATTACATGTGGATGATAATGTCTGTTATGAATCTATGGATAAACGACTCATGGCATTAAATGGATCTATTGCTTTTATTACAACTATAGCACATACTCTTCACATATCAATTTTAGGTGAATACGGTGTGAAAAAATCGTGGATTAAACTCTTCATTATTGATTCATTACCTAATTATTTTGATCATCCTATTGGAGCAGGAAGCAAAGGTGATATATTCTTTAAAACAAAATACAATGAGATGGTTCAATTTGATTTGAATACCCAGAAGATAGAAAAACTTGCTATTAAAGATATTTTATATACTTTCCAAATACTCCTTTATAAAAAAATTCTTCTTTTAATCTAAGCGCTATATTTTTAAGATTATGATTATTAGGTTTTACTTTGTATAGAAAGTGGTTGGGGGAAGTGATCATGTCAAAATTACTATCAAATCTATGGCATGTTTAAAAGCCTGAATTTTGCTTCGTTAGTTTTATTTTCTAATACATTTTTATATGTTTAAATTAATTTGATATCTTTTTCAATTGTATGAATGTTGTTTTGTTTTTAGATTTTGTTCGAGATATTTTCCTCCCATCCTCTAGCAAGTCTAAATTTTGTGTGGAGATAATTGTGCTACAAACTTTCTCTCTTTTTAATTGCAACTTTTTGTTTTCAAAAAAATTATCAATTATGAGATGTAATTTTGTAACACAAATATGAATTTATCTCATTAATTACCTCATAGAATACGTTATTAACCACTTAGTTATAAAATATTAACCATTTGCTTAACATATATTTTATTAACTTCTTACAATATTTTATTGACCATTTATTTAACAACGGATGAAGTAAATTGATATTTCATTAATCAATTATAATATTGATTTGGACTGGGCCTGCACTTGTCTAACAGTTGGGAAGTTCAATCTAACATTTTTGCCTGCACTTGTCCAACAGTTGGGAAGTTCAATCTAACATTTTTGTATAAGGTCTAAAGATAAGTAATCCAAATTAGAGACTGTTGGGCAACTCCCAACGGAACCGTTGGAGAACGTGGTCCACGTGTCCGCATCACTGTCATCTTATCTGCCCTCCGGAAATAACGGATCCAACACCTATTCTCATAGAGCAGTTGGCCAGGGGAGAGTCTACTTGATGGACTTCATACACACGTAAGCCCTGACAGTCTTCATTATTGGGTATCACTATGGCCCAACAATGGGGACCTTGGCCCAGCGCTAGGGGTTATAAATACCTTCTCATCAGAGTGTCTTGCAGGTACCCCCCCTCCCCATCTCGCTTTCAACCTCAGCTCGACGTAAGGCCTTGGCGATCACTCTGGTCAGGTATGATCAGTGGCGCCGTCTGTGGGAAACTAGTTTCCCCGTCTTCATTTACCTAATATAAAAACAACTCCAAATTCTTGATTGTCATGGACGACCCAACTGCCAACAACATCTTGGACGCCCATCTCGCCGACCCCAACAACAATGTCGTCGAACACATGGGCAACAACAACAATAACAATAATGGAAATGACAGAGACATGGTCGGTCTCATGCAGAATTACAGAGACGGCATGACCGCCTCTTCCTCACCATGCACTCGACCATACGAGGGCACCCATCCTCCCCAGAACTACGAGCCGCACGCTTTCCAGGAAGTCCCCGTCCCTCCGAGCGCTGATGCCATGACTCGGGCCCTATTCGCAATAATTAACCAGGCGAATTACCTAATCTTTGCGCAAGGTGAGCGACTAAGGGTGCTCGAGAACTCTCGCCGAGCCCTCAGAAGACATAGGAGGCCCGACACCCCTCCTCCTCGTCGGGATGAAGACCGTCTTCAATCTCCCCCGCAGAGACATAGACGGGACAGGTCGGGAAGTCCCCCTCCTCCTCGTCAAGATGAAGACCGTCTTCAATGTCCCCCACGGAGACACAGACGGGACAGATTACGGAGCCTTTCTCCCCGACAGACTGGAAGACGCCTGCACTAGAGAGAACCATGCTCGAGGTTGTCGGGAGATGCGGCCTCACACCACCACCCCCCCCCCCCCCCCCCCCCCCCGCGCGCGCGCGCGCGCGCAGGGAATAACGATCCTCTGAAAACAGAAACAAGGACCATGTATAAGCATATCCTCAACCAATGGATCATCCTCGAGGCCAAGGATACCACTACGACCACCGATATAACCGGTCTCCTTCCCACTCCCCCTACAGGAGTGACAAAGACGACCCTCGCAGTCCTTTATCACAAGCAATCATGGAGGCGGCCATTCCTAAAGGAATGGAGAAGCCTCCCCAATTGAAGGAGTATGATGGTTTTACCGACCCAGTCGACCACATCGACAGGTTCGAAGCAATGCTCCACTATCATAACGTCAAAGGACCGATCAAGTGTCGGTTGTTCCCCATGACAATTAGGAAAACCATGATGGACTGGTATAAAAATCTCCCCCAAGGTTCGATCACTTCCTGGAGGAACCTGAAGAACCAGTTCATCATCTCTTTTACAGTGTCTCGTCGACACCCGAAGACTGAGGCTGCCCTTGAGGCTATCATCCAAAGAAGCGACGAAACCCTCAGAGAGTTTATTGATCAGTTCAACCGCGAGGCCATTCATGTCCCGTGCACCGATCACATGAAAAGATATTTGCTCGAAAGTGGACTCCTCCCGGGCATGGAGTTCAGGAAGGCTATTGGCATCGAACCACCCCAAACATTCGATACTCTCCTCGAAAAGGCTAGGGCCTACATGGACTACAAGGAGAGGGGAGCGGCCAACAAATCCCGCTACCCAAGGAACCGCAGACCAACCAACGCCCCGCGACACCAGGACGCAACCCCTCCTTGACGAACGGGAGAGAAGAGGAGGGATGACAAACCACAGGATCCCCGCGAGCACAGGGGGGCCGTAGGCCGATTCACCGAATACACTCTGCTAACATCTTCCAATGAGCGCATCTTGGTGGAGTGTGCTAATACTGACTTCAAGGACGGTGGCGTCAAATGTCCTCGCTCTGCCCCTACAAAGCCCGAGGCTGACAGGAGCAAATACTGTCAGTACCACCGGAGCTACGGGCATCTGACTAAAGATTGCGTCCATCTCAAAGACGCCATTGAAACCCTCATCAAGGGTGGCAGGCTCGAGAAATATCGCTGAAATGACGCCCCTCACCGGGATACCCGCGAAATAAGAGAGGTCGAGGAAGACACCCGACCATCAGATGAGACATCCCCCATCCAAATAGCCTCTCTATTACAAGGCCAAAGGACTTCTACATCCCCGACATACACGAAGAAGAACCTCTGTCCATGCACAGTAGCTGGGAAAAATTTCCCTCTGCCATGGTTATAACTGGTGGTGGGTTGAACGACATCTCCATAAACTCCGCAAAGAGGAAGCTCGACGAGTTTGTTGATGCAGCCCCGACTCAAACGGTAACTTTCGAGAAGGTCAAGGGAAGATCAGAGCCAATCACGTTTTACCTCGAAGAGTTACCCGGAGGGGCCCCCAACTCGAGCATCCCTCTTCTGGTAAGGGCGAGAATGGATAATTTCGACGTTCACCGCGTCTTGGTCGATGAAGGGAGTTTCGTCGATGTTATGTACAACCATCTTTTTCGAACCTTACAGCTCGATAACACCCACCTTTCACCATACGTGGGGTACGACCTGCAAGGCTTCAATGGCTCGAATTCTAAACCATGGGGATACGTGGAGCTCTTCGTCACCTTCGGGGAGGAAACTGCCACTCGGCAGGTTAAGGTACGATTCCTGGTCATCGACTGCTTGTCTCTCTGCAAATGTATCCTAGGGAGATCAACACTGAATTAACCGTTGTTCCCTCCACCATACATCTAAAGATGAAATTCTACACGAAGAGGGGACACGTCACCACCATCCACGGTGAAATCTCAGCTACCCAAAGATGTATCAATGCAGCTTCAAAGGGACAGAGTATGGTCGACACCGGGGCACTACCCGCTAAAAGAGCTACTACTGTCCGACCTGAGCCACAGCCCGTCAAGACAGAAGAACAAAGAACTCCTCCCAAGGTCGACTCTATTTCACTAGATACCCACTTCGACAAGGATTGAGCACCCAACGAAGAACAGGGACTCCTCCGACCAATCCCAGACAGAGACTTTGAGTTCGTCCCCCTTGGTGAAGACCCTCACAAAGGCGTGAAGATCGGCATCGGATTCTTCGACCTGGAGAGGAAGCAGATCAAAGCTTGCTTGAGGGAGAATGCAGATCTGTTCGCGTGGAGCACCGTGGAGATGCCCGGACTTGACCCCGAGGTCACCTGTCACCACTTGGCCATTGATCCGGCCGCTAGGGCAATGGTACAATGTAGACGTAGGCAGTCTCCCAAGAAAGCGGAGGCTGCTAAAAATGTTGTAAAAGACCTCCTAGAGGCCAACTTTATTTCGGAGGTCTGGTATTCAACCCGGCTCTCAAATGTTGTACTTGTTAAGAAAAATAATGGAAAATGGAGAATGTGTGTTGACTATACTGATCTTAACCGGGCATGTCTCAAAGACGCTTTTCCTTTACCTAATATTGATATGTTGGTCGACAATTCGGTCGGCTATAAAATTTTGTCATTTATGGACGCCTACTCGAGCCTTAATCAAATCCATATGGCAATGAGCGATAAGCATTGCACTGCTTTCATGACAAGTTCGGGTAATTACTACTACAACGTAATACCCTTCGGCCTGAAAAATGCAGGGACAATGTACCAGCAGATGATGAATAAAGTCTTCCGTAACGAGATCGGGGATATGCTCGGGGTATACATGGATGACATGATCATCAAATCTCGAGCTGATACCGACCATGCTACCCATCTCAAAAAGGTATTTGCCCAAGTGAGACAATGCAGAATGAGGTTCAACCCTGAGAAATGCACCTTCGGGGTTAAGGCGGGAAAATTCCTCAGTTCTACCTGACGGAATGAATTGAAGCCAACCCCGACAAGTTCCATGCATTCTCTGAGATCCCTACACCTATCTAGAAGAAATCCATACAAGTCCTAAACGGCATGCTCACCTCACTCTCCCGTTTCATGGTGAAGTCCGCGCAACACGGTCTTCCATTTTTCAAACTTCTACGCAAAGAGGCAGCCTTCGAGTAGACTAGGAATGCGAGCAAGCCCTTATCCATCTCAAGCAAATCCTTTCGCAACCGCCCATACTGTCGCGACCTGCGGATGGGGAAACCTTGTTCCTTTACCTGGCCGTCTCCGCCGAGGCTGTGAGCGCGGCCCTCGTCCGCGAGACTCCTGACGGGAAAAAATTAGTGTATTTCACGAGCAAAGCACTTCAGGGACCCGAGGTCAGGTATCAACAGA